CCAAATGTCTGCTTTTTGCAGATGGAATCACTGGAGCAAACAGAAAGGTGGAGTTTGGTCTTGCTGGGTTTGATGTGGTTCGTTCTTATAGGACAAGTCATTTTCTATAAAGGGATTTTTAAAAATTGCTTTGCTGATAGTTGTTTTCTGAGTATCTTTGTCTGTTTATATTCAAATAAACTTTGATGGGAAACAATCCTTCTAAAGGCCAAAACATATCTGTAAACATAGCAAGGCATATTTTTTAATTTTCCATGAGCACTAACTCATTACTTAGTAGCAAATCTGTCAGTCTGCTGTTCCAAGTAGCTTCTGACTTTGCCAAAGTCATTAAAGTACCAGAGCAATATTAAAGGTTATATTCTCTTCTTTCTGTGCTGGAAGTGGACCTGTAGGTCAAAATGTAATAAAATAAGAATATATACCTCATCATGTACAACTAGAGAAAGTGTTGTGTTGCAGATGGCAGAGGCTTAAGGACTTCTTAAATTGATGTGCAAATTAATTTAAAAAGAAGTAGATTGATAGCTCTGGTGGACACCCCTCTGCCAATCTGGCACTGTCATTGAGTTAAATTATTTTGTGCAAGTGGTGCATAGATGATGAAAGGAAGTTACAGGTAAGGGAATAGCACTTAGGTACTAAGGGCAAGAAAATGCGGTGAACATGGATTTGTTGCTGAATTTAAAAGTTCAGAAATTATAACAGCTACACCACTTAATAAAGAGTGAAAATATAAGACAATATTTTTTGAATACCCTTATATGAAATTATAGACTATGATATACCTGTGCTCTCAAATCAAATATGTACAGTGTGTAGAGTTAGGTAAATCAATAATTTCAGGATATCTTTTATGCCTTTCACAGTCTCATTAATTAAAATATACAGGTAAGAATTAACTTCCATTAGGTAAAGAGCTTACATATTTCGTGCAGAAGAAAATGGTATAGGTTAGATACTTGCATTTATATAAAGAAAGAAAGAAAGCCAGTAAAGGAATAGATCAAGATAAAATAAGATCCTTTATCTTCTTATTCTAAATTGACCTAAACTTTAATTCAGATAATGGTAAAATGCATTGGATCATAATAGCATTTGTTCAAGTGAAATGAATGACAGCAATGCCACAGTGCATGAGCAAGAGGAATTGGGGATATTCTGTTACTAGCTTCCTGTAGCCCATGTGTAGTGGCATAGTGCTCTTTGTAGGCTGAGTTAAAGTAGTTAAAATACACGTATGTATTGTGAACTTTAGGGCATGTAGTAAAAAAAAAATAAGTAATAATAATCTATATGCTAAGAAAGGGTATAGAAAGGAATCATTTAAAATTTTCAGTTTATATCAAAAAAGGCAAAAATAGTGGTAAACTTAGTAAATATCAATATATTAATAATCACTGTAAATACAAATGATGTAACTATAATTGAAAGTCACAATTTGTCAGATTGAATTAAAAAAAGAATCAATTACAATTGACCTTCCCCATTTGTGAGTTCCCACCACCACGGATTTAACAAACCACAGGTAGGTTCCGAGGGCCAGCTGTATGAGGGCATTTTATACGGGGGACTTGAGCGTGGCAGGCTTTGGTAATCATGGGAGTCCTGGAACCAATCCCCACCGATACTGAGGGATGACTGTGTATGTTGTCTAAGAAGATCTGTTTTAAATATAAACACTCATACAGGTTAAAAGTAACCTGTAAGTCCCTCAGAGACTTTCTCCAATTCAGGAAGTAATTCCACCTTCCACCAAATAGCCCTCTGTCTATCTCTGAATTTTGCGTAGCTGTGTCACACATCACGGAATTTCAATATATTGGTTCTTTTCCCTGTAATGCTAATCCCTTTGCTTTTCTCATTGATCATAACCTTCTCATCCACCTTGTTTCCTCCACACCACTCAGTTATATATTTATAACTGTATTGTGTTTGTTGATTTAACTGGTTTGTCTTATTTCTTTGGTTAGACATCAGCTTTATAAGAATAAGGACCAGGTTTGTCTTGCTCAGTGAAGTCATTCCAGGAATTGGATTAAGTGCTTATCATTATTAGTTCAAAATAGATGGGAATTGAATGAATGATTTGCTAAAGGAATTTTAAAAACAACTTTTAGTACATTTCATGATTAACATGGCTTAATATGTTAATACTTTTATTTTGCCTTAACAAAAATTGGCAGTGAAAATGCAAAATGGGGGAGGAAATCAAGAGATACATGCTGATGGCTTTTCATTTGATCAAACACAAAAAAGGGATTGCTTCATCCTCCTAAAGCAGAAACCTCAAAATTCAGATGCAATGCTGGTATAAATTAGGTATGAATTATATAAACAGAGAAAGTTCTTTGGTTCTTTGTTCTCAAAGGACACTTAGCAGGGACACAGGTGAGAAGCCAGAGCCCACTGAATGTGAGTGCTAGCAACCATGGAACTATTGACTCACGCACAACAAAGGCATTTCATAAACAGAAGTGACATTGAATTTGGATTTCCAGCTCTGTGGGGCATAAACAAATGAAAAACAAAGATTTCACAATGATTTCCCTTGCTTGTTATGGGAAGTTCAGCTATGTTTGTAGTATGGTTATTGCCATGAAGAGGAAGTCAGGTCCACTCTCCCTTTACTGTCACCACGTCAAGATCCAAGTAACCATAGCAACATTCACTCATCCTCAAAGCTTTTAAAAGAATTTAAGATTAGGGCTTAAAAAGAAACGCAGATGCTCTTCTTAAAGTTAGGTTTATACAAGGAAGGAAAACCCCCTTCATAAGAGAGACTACGGTTTTGGTGAAATGCAACAAATTCCATACTCATAAAACTTAATATTTTAGTTAATATTCTTGGCCAGTTGTCAACAGAAGCTCCTCTGCTTAAAGCCAGTACTGTAGAAGTCACATAGCAATCAACGCTCGTTGACTGTCAGGAGGCAGGGAGACATTACTGGAGCTAACAGGAGTGTATGGCGGTGCTGAGGAAAACGTGGTTTTAATAGTAAGCAAAATAATCACAGAGTTTAGGTAACAAGGAGACTAAGTCTTTTGCATAGCCTGAACACACTAGAAATTTCAGTAAGAGTTGCTTTTAGATCAAATAATTTTGTGGCTGAAAATCTAATGTTTTACTTTGTATGCTGGCCATTTCCTCCATGTATGACTTTTTAATGCTTTCAATTTAAGTCGTCAAAATATTACATTTCAGCAGGAAACAAGTGTGTTGTGAACTACATTTCACTTCCTACACTTTCAGTTATGGTCATAGCACCTGGTGGCCAACAGTCATTTAAAGAGCTTTTTGTGAATTCACAGAAAGTCACAGATGCACTGTTACAGGTATTCAGTCCTAGGCTACTGATTTATGGAATGAGGAATGATTGTCAAAGGAAAGTTGATGAAATTTGCATGTACGTTGATAATTAGTGAATTGTTCATTTTCACTTGGTTACATTTCATTTATTCTGAGCAAAGATCTGTTGTGAAGGAGAGTCCTATTTTAAGGTGATTCTTGCATAATTTTGCAGAAAAACATTCACATAATCTTACTTTTGAAATTAATGTGGTACAATCTCGTATCAAATGAGAAAAACTTCCGAAACTACTGAAATACAAACAGAAGATAAATGCTCACATTCACAATACCTATTACTGACACATATCTACTATGGATTTAATATTTATTGAGTTGAAAGATCATATATACAAATTTAAAATGATTTGTGCACTTTCAAAGTGCTCAGATTTTTACCTGTTGCTGCAGTGTGTGTGTGTGTATGTGTGTATGTGTGTGTATGTATATATATATATATATATATAAATATGTATCTGTATCTTGCTTGCTTTAATATAATAAGTTAGAGACAGTTTTACTGGCCACACACATAAAACCTGAAAATCAAATTTAAAAGCACATTCTAGAGGTATTTTTTGAAAATAGAACTTTGGGTAGAGAGATTGATGATTATCATCATTTATACATTCTGGGAGCCAGATACATTATTTTTCTTACATGATTTGTATAAGGAAACTCAATCTTACTCATCTTAAAAGTTCAAAATACATTATATTGGCAAATAATCTCAACCTGACAGAAAGATGATCCTGCACATCAGTGCAATGTATTTTAGCATATCACATTTTTAAACCTACTAATATTCTCCCAGGAAGTCCTTGATGGTATACATTGAATTACGTTCATATTAGGAAAGCTATAAAGTAACTGTTAATAAAACATGAAGATTCTCTGAACGTCAATAACTGGATAAAAGTTTGAAGCCTTGCACTTATACACTGACTTTGGGATATAGAGGTTCTTCTTACAAATGTACTTAGTCATGTTTCTAACAGATATTCTAAGATTGGATTGCATTAGTCTGCCTAGCTGGTTAGCACTATATCAAAAAGCATTGTTTTTTCAGGTGTATTTTTTGGGAGAGGGATACTAAATTTTTTTAATAGCAGCTATATTGAGATAAAATTCACTTGCCATAAAATTCACCCTTTAAAAATATTCACCCAGTGTTTTTAGTGTATTCACAAGTTATGAAACCATCACCACTGTCAAATTTCAGAACATTTTCATCACCTCCGAAAGAAATCCCACACATTTCAGGTGTATTTTTAATTGAAGGTACAGTTCTCTCTAAAAACTGAGGAGAAAATGCTGCTTAGAGCCATGTACAGCTATCATGATATTTTCTGGTTAAAATGAACAGTTTAGTCTCTCACATTGGTCATTTTTCAGTTTCATTTTTATGGCAGACATTTCAAAATAAATGAAAAATGCAATGTAATATTAAAACTAACTGCCTTTAAAAAATTGATATACTTGGCATGTTAAATTTTGTAAATTATAGGTGTATTCCATTACTTTGGTACATTTATGTATTATAATATGATTGTCATTGAAGCAATATTTATCATACTACTTCATTATAGTACAATATTATTGTCTATATTATAAAGTGCATTAGATTTCTATTATTTGCTGCTTGTTACCAAAAAAAAAGAAATACTTCATGAATTTACATGTTATCCTTGTTCAGGGACTGTGATAATCTTCTCTGTATTCCAGTTGTAGTGTATGGGCTGCCAAAGTGAGCATTTGATATTATGTCTTGAGTTATCATAAATAAGATAGACTTTAATTATTACTAGTGTCTGCTCTATTAACAGCTACAGTATTAAAAGTCAAGGTACTCGATTGCAAAAACTGGTACAGAAATAGAAATTATTCATTGTTACTTAAGTCAGAAACATATTGAAACAACAAGAGAAAATCTAAGAGTTTCAATAGAATACAGAGAAGATATTTTATTGAAAGTAAATTAGTAATGACATTTTTTTTGAACAGTATTATTTTTCTAAAAGACTCACTCTGCCTGCTTCTCACATGGGCTAAAGTAATGTTTGCTACTCTTGGATTCAGGCCTTGGCCAGATAACTTGCTTTCAGTAATTCGATGTTGGCAGATGTGACAAAGCTGAGAGTTGCTCTTCCATTTCTTTCACAACCATAAGAAAATCACACCCTGGCTGGCTACTGGGCCCAGGAGAAAGACAGTAACTTTGCAGGCAGGAATAATTGTTCCTTTCTTTTCGTAGCCCAGATCTACTCTGAATAAATGACAGTGGTTTTAACATGACGACTTTTAAGAATTTTGCAGCCTTCATATGGTAGTAGTTCACTGATTGCCTGAATTCAAGCAGCTGAAACAGCCACTTTTTAGCAATGTCTTGACACATTTGATTTCCTCAGCCTAACATTCTCATACCCTTTCCAAAGCCTGTCTTTCATGGTCTTCTTCAAATGCTGCATTTCTCTGAAAGCAGCATTGATTTATCAAGTTTTATCTGTTTCAAGAACACAGCTTTTGTATTGTTTTGCAGCACTTAAAGCTTATACCTTGTGTTATAACTATCTCTGTATTTTTCACATATCTACATCTGGAGTAAACCTGGGAAGTGTGGCTTGTGTCACATTTCTCTCACTATTCTTGGGCTTTAGAATCTGGATATTGGTTATTATGCAGATTTCATAAATATTTTTACAGTGAAATATATATATGTGTGTATATATATATATATATATATGTATATATTTAAAGCAATGTATTCCTGCTTTATTAGAGGAATAAGATGGGGAAATATGTCAATTACCATAAGAGCAAGTATAAACATAACTTCAACACATTGCAAACCAGTCTTGGAATTGTTGGTTTGGAGAGTTGAGGGCTCCTTCGTTGGCTTTGACTTGCCATTACGTCAAGCATTTTCTTCTTGTACTATGACTAGGAAACCTCTGCTTTAATCCACTGATATTCAGGAGATGTTGTCTTCAATGTCTTTAAAATTAGCAGGAAAGCATTCGTTTGATGTACAGATGGTCTTATCCTAGTGAACAAAACTGAGTATTTTTGAGTTAGAGTATTAAGATACCTCTAAGTATTGCTCCTGCTACAACCCTGGGATCCACAAGGAGTCTTGGTACATTTTAAATGTATCTAAATGGAGAATGACAATTAGAATCCAAGAGCTGGTTTCTGTGTGTGCTGTGTATTACAAGGGTGCTATTGCTTGCAAATCTTCCTAGTGTGCAGTGTTAGGGAATGTTAAGTATGTTTACTAACCCACACAAATATACAGTCTGTATTTATGGATCTAATTATTTGTGTGTGGATATAAATTCATGCCTCCATAGTTGACCTTGAACACAGGGGTTGGGGTGCTGACCCCATGGAATCAAAACTCCAGGCATAACTTAGAATTGGTCCTCTGTAATTGGCTCCTCCATATCCGCAGTTCTGCATCAAAGGATTCAGTGGTGGACTATGTAGCACTGTAGTATTTATTAAAAGAAATCTGCATTTAAGTGGACCTATGCAGTTCAAACTCATGTTATTCAAGGATCAGTTGTGTACACACAATGCATTTTATGAATAATATAAATGTGTTTTATATATGTAAAATTTGTTCAAGTAAGTTGATTTCAAATCCAGTATCTTAGAGTTAAATGTAGCCTGCCTCCCTACCTTATTTGTGAGTTATTTCTCCAGCAGTGAGAAACTTGATTCTTACTAACTACAACATATTTACTTGTTGGATTAACTTTGTATAGTATATACAAAGCTATTTCAGAATTGCCATCTATACTTCCATGCTCCTGCTTAAAATATTTTTTAAATATACACATACATATATTCTTACAGCATTCAGTCAAGGCACTGTTTTCTAAGTTACTTAAAATATTTCTTTTCTCCGTACCCAGTCAGCATGTTATCGGTTAGGTTTACTTGTCAGTGTTTGTTTTTCATTTTTAGTTTTACCACATCCTGATTGATTTTGATTGTTAATTTATTTGTGGGGTAGTGAATGGTATGAGAAACATGGCTACAGTTCTAACACAGTCCTACAGTCACTTCCTCCTAATCTCTGCTGTTGTATTACCAGTACCTTCTTTCCATTCCTTTCTGTCCACCCCTGATAGGAGATCAGAATCTTTAGTGTCTGGTTTTATCCTTCCATTAATGCCAAAAAAATGCTCAAAAAAAAGATGCAAGCTTGTTGAAAATTACAGGTGCCAAACTGAAGTAGTGAGAAACAACTAGAGCAAAAATGTTAATATGTTAGTATTTTATTATTACCCATAAAACAAAAAAATTGGGGATCCATAAATGTATAAATGAATATCACTCTTAAAATATATATTAACCACAAAGGAACGCTGCTAACTTTACAGTGGAAAAAATAGAAAGGACAGCATCACCAGTAGTAACAAATAATGCCATTATGACCCTTGTGATGTGATGCTTTAAGAACTCAACATCAGCTCTGTGATATTCTTGACAAAAATACATAGTCAGCAAGAAACCTCACACTCACCCCAATTAACTAACATTAGACACAGTAAGTTGATGTTCTTTGAAAGTGTCAAGGTCATGAAAGGCAAGGAAAGCCTGAGGAATAATTTACAGACTGAAAGAGACTAAGGAGAAATAGTAACTAAATACAAAGCGGGATCCTGGATTTGATCTTGGAGTAAAAAGAAAACATCAGTGGAAAAACTGGGGAAATTTGAATGAAGTCTTTTAGTTCATTGTGTTTTACCAGTGTTCATTTCCTGGCTCCAACAATTTCACCAAGGTTATGTAAAATGGAAATACTAGAGAAAGCTGGAGGAGGGATGTAAGAAAACTGTAGAAATTTTCAATCAGCCTCTAAGTCTAAAGTTAGTTTCAAAAAAAAAGCTTTAAAATATCCCTAATTTTTTGGGATTCTAATATTTTATTAATAACTATCAAAACTATAGTTAGCTATAAATATCTTTCATGCCAGAATTTGGAGTAGGATCCAGCTCTCTTGATTCCAAGTTCAATAATCTTTCCAATACTCTGTGTTCTTCCACATCTGGGGATATTTTTACTCAAAGTACAATTGATTCGGTAATGCATTGAACCTGAAGTCTATTGTTAGGCATTATAAAATACAAAGCTCATTTTGTATAAGAGCTTCATATACCCCTATTCTTGACTTCCCTAAAAATAATCCGTAAACTCCTCCACTTAATTTTGTGGTTACTCAATTACTTACTCTCTACAAAAGAGTGAGCAATCCAAGGTTTATTTTTAAGAAGGCAGTAGATTGTCCTTTTTTTTTCTTTTATAGATCTTAGAATTGGAGAGCAGAGAAAAATCATTTAGAATATTTTTACATTCCTTTCCTGTCCTAAGATTGTTCTTAACATTGGTTGCTTCAAGTTATCCCTGCAGTTTTATACTCTTTCTGCTTCTTTGGGTGACATTAAAAAAAAAAACAAACAACTTTTAATAAAAACAGTATGTCTTTTATGAAAACACTATCAATAGAGAACAAATAATAATTATTAATGTACATAATAAAGATATTTCCCCTGACCCCCAAAATCAGCATTCATTCTATAAGCCATAGTTAAAATCATACTTTCTGATGCTAAATTATCAAATAATACTATAAGGAGTTACTAGATTTTCTCACTTTGCTCTCTGATTTGGCTGCATTTTCTGGTGCCACATTTTTATGTGACTGGTAGATTGTTACTGAGATGCTACCATTTGTTAAAACATGCAGAAAATTAAGCTTACAGAGTCACATGCTGAATTTTACAGATAGTTCTATAACGATATTGCTATTAGTATTGAGCTATTTATAGAAGTTAATGAAAATGATACTATATAACTGTGATATACAGAAATTAAACATTGTGTAAAGAATCATCATTTGGGTTTTATCAGTAAAATACAGATTTTATTAAATTAAAATTCTAGGTTTTGAAATATTAGGCTAAACTTTCCAAACTTATATCATTTCCTTGAATCTTGTGCTATTGCATCTGTAATGTCATCATTTAAGTAATTGATTTTGTGTGAGCTTCATTCCTGTTCTGATTAGCTAATTGAGAAGATTATAATTGTCATTTTGACTTAAAACTTGAAGTTACTTCTAAGAAAGATCCTGCACAGAAACACATAGAGACAAATCCATTTAAACAGCACATTACTTTGAGGATCCCACAGAGCTGAACTCAATAGGAGCTCTTGATAATGCAAACCCTGGGGACATCCTTATTAGTCTGCCCACCAAGTGGACTGTGTCTGTGTTGTGAACTCTGTAAGTTAGCAATAGCCAATAATTTAAAGCTGGTAGAAGAGTCACTCCGGACATTTAAAATGCAATCACCTACCCTTTTCTGGCATTTAAAATAAAATGAGTCAGTGGAAAGTTGGTGAAGTGGACTTGAGACTCTCCCTAGAGATATATGAAGTTGTCATTTGATTTTGTAATGCCAAGTTTAAGTTAAACATGAACCTTTAACCTGTTTAGGATTTCCTCTTCTTGACATGGTGGGGATGAGGGACGTGATGTATCATCAAATATTTATTGAGTGTTTATAATTCTTGGTCTCCAGATAGAGGAAAGTAAAAGATATTCTGCTTAAACTAAACTATGCTCCAATGGAGTGATTACCAAATGGCTGATATACGTGATGATGGTGGCAGGATGATGAAGATAATAATGATAAAATATTTAAATTTAAATACCAAAAGAGACACAAATAACAGAGGGGACA